AGGCCCTGGGTTTGACTCCTACTACTGAACACACCAGAGGAGTTTGCACATACCTGTAACCCCAGTGCTCAGAAGGTCAAGGCGGGCATTTGTATCCTTCCGCTCTCTGGAACAAATCCTGTGCTCTAGGCTGACCGTTCTTGGGGCCCAGAAAATGATATCCCAAAGGGAATATCTCACCAGCAAACTTTCCTTGGGATCTTCTGCTTTCTATCCTTCACCCTGCTTCTCACGAGACAAACCAGAGAATCTAGAATTTTCCTTCCTCCGAGACAGGCCTAGAAACCAGACCCCTCCCCGCCATGCCAACCCTACTCAAAATGTCACTCCAACTTTCCCTGCCTGTCTGCGTAAGAGACTAGGAGCCTTTCATGCTGACTTTATAAGGAAACATCCGCCCCACACCTCAGGGAAGACATGCTATAGTCAAGGGGCCAAAGAGACTAGGAATACTCAGACTTATGACCTGGCTGGTTTTCTCCACTTAGCCCAGCTTCAAAGTTCACTCCTGTTGGTCCAATCACATTTTTGCATGTGTGTGTGCATGCTCCTGCCTCTAGAGACTTCAGTCTGAAGGCTCCTGTATTGGCCAAACAATGATCAAGTAAATGTTCTCACTTCCCTCCTGCTAGCTTGTCTTTTGTTAGGGCTGTTGGTTGTGAACATTTATGGTGTGCAGGTAAGGACTTGTCCCTTTCTCTATCTCTCTACAAGCATGCCGGGCTTTTCCTGGTCATTACCCTTCAGCACATGCTGCTTCCTTTCCCTAAAGTGTCCTTTCTCCCCACCCAGTGAGACAAACTCTTATTCACCCATCAGGACCTGTACCCAAAACCCTTTCCTAGAATATTAATGTTCACCTAGCAGATGCTGAGTGTTCTACAGATTGCCTTCAGCTGACGAACCAATGACTTGACAAGCAGTTCACACTTCTGTGAAGATTCCCTGGCCCCAGACAGGGTTTTTCTTCCCTCATTGGGTGGCTCCCTTAGTTACAGCCTAATGCCACATGCTGCTATGGTCTTGATTGAATGACCTATCTCTCTGGACTGAGCGCTGAAGGGCACAAGCCAAGGCTGACCCAACTTAGCATATCCTTAGGTCATAGGACTGGCATTGTGCACATCATTCTTCTAGAAGGAGAGGGACTCCTGGACAGCCTCTCTCTATTCCCACTCTGCAGTGGGCAGTACTTCCTGCTGGCCACAGTGTCAAGTGCTCTCAGTCAGACTTCCCCCTCCTTTGATGAGCATCTGTGCAGTCTCCAGGTGCACATAGAGGAGGGAGCTGTTGACCAAGGCCAGGAGCAGACATGAACTGAACTCATGGAAATTGATATGGCTAGTCTTTTCCTTCAGTGTCGCCGAATTTGGACAGCTGTGTTTGGGCAGAGGCAGTCTGAGTTTGGGGAAATCCCCCAAGCCAGAAGAGGGTTGGATGAATATAGGCTTATGTCACTTACCTGTAGGAGCCTCATGGGAATCCTACAAGATGGACTGACCTTTGGCCCAACCCCCCATCTGTCAAGACAACTCCACCCTCCAGTTGCCCTTGGCATAAATTACAGACTAGAAAATAGTTCTGCCAAGGGGAGGGTTTTTCCAAGATAAACCAAAAGATGGGATTGTCCCTCCCATTCAGTCGCATAAGTACTGTCTGTAAATGTTCCCTTTGACCCAGGTACAGCTTCACTCAGAGTAGAAGCAGCCCAATCCTGTGTCAGGAGATCTGGATCCGAAGCAAGCACATACTGCGCTTGGCCTGTGACCTTGACAAGTCATCCCTTTTTTCCAGCCTTCCTCTGTCAGTCAAGGTGCTGTTGGGAAAATCAGATGGGCTAATGGCCCCAGAACCTGGCCCAGGGCTGCCATCCTCTCCATGCAGAGACTGAATCAGAGTTGAGGTCTTCCTGTCCGTCTCCAGAAAGTCCTTCTGCCCTTCCCTGTAGCCTGGATTGCTGACAGGTTCTCCAGAGCAGACTGTGGCTGGGGAAAGCAGGCCTCTTCTCTCTCTGCTCTCCAACGCCTTCTTCCTTTAAGTCAGTGAATTATTTTTCAAATTAATAAGTGAAACACTGGGTTTAATTATGGTATTTCCATGCATACTTTGTTCTTGTTGTCTCACCACACCTGGTCTTATCCCCTCCCCTTCCCCCCTCTCCCGTGTTGTATATTTTATTGCCTTGTCACCCTTCCCTTTCCTTAAGTCACACTTCTCATGTTCTCCTTTCTGTTTCATGATTTAAATATTTATATAGAAATTAAAAATCTGGGGTCTGCCCGTGAGAGAAAACATGCCATTGTCCTTTTGAGTTTGGATTACTTTGCTTAATATAATCCTTTGAAGATCTCAGCTTTTGCCCTGGCTTTCTGGTACTCGTTGTATAAACCAAGCTGGCCTTGAGCTTTCAGTTACACTCTTGTCTCTGAGAACCGGGATTGCGGTGTGCACTGTCACACCAGCTTGAGACTGTTGGTTTCTGGAACACAAATTCAGGTGTGTGGTTTCACCACAGGGTTTGTCTAGACAGTTCCCTGTGAGTGGTGTACATGGGTCTCCCTCTACACAATTTCAACTGCCACACAGTTCCCAGGGTAACCCTGCATGGAAGTCCTGCCATGATCCAGGCACCTAAGAAGGTGTTTTCTCCTCTGTTTGGGGTGAATTGAACCCAGGGCCTCCAGGACGGTAAGCAACCACTTAGCTTCATCCTCAGCTCTCTTTGCATTTTGAGACAGGGTTTCAATAAGTTTCCCAGGCAAGCCTTGAACCTTCAATCTGCCTGCCTCAGCCTCCTGACTGGTAGGATCACAATCTGAACCACCAAGCCTGGTTCTCAGGAAGCATTTTAAAGGGGAAGCTCCTATTCTGTTCTTCCAAAACACCACAGATTCATAAGTAGAATCTCACCTCTTACCTTTTTAGAGAAATGGTTTCAACACTGTTGCCCATTTGGAGAGATTGTTCAGTGGTTAAGAGCACTGGTTCTTCTTCCAGAAGAAGCAAGTTTGAGTCTTAGTACCCACATGATGTCTTAAGACTCTCTGTAATTCCAACCCTGAGGGATCTGACTCCTTTCTCTGGCCTCTGCGGCACCAGGCACACATGTGGTACACAGACATACATGCAGACAAAACATCCATACACATAAAATAAAAATCTGTTGCCCATTTTATTATATACAGTTATTTAACTTTTTATTCTGTGTTACTTTTAAATCCCGAGTGCTAAAAGCACTATTAGCAGACATTTTCTCCCATTCTTTGGTTTGTCTTTTTATTTTCTTAGCAGTGACTTGCATGAAGTAGATGTTTTTAATGTTGATAAAGCTTAGCTGGGCAGTGGTGGTACAGGCCTTTAATCCCAGCACTCGAGAGGTAGAGACAGGAGGCTCTCTATGAGTTGGAGGCCAGCCTGGTTTACAGAGTGAGTTCCAGGACAGCTAGGGCTTTTTATTTATTTATTTATTTTTACAGAGAAACCCAATCTCAAGAAACCAAACAAATCAAATAAATGAATAAAACTCATAAAGCTCAAATTATAAACTTTGTCTTTGCTTTCCACAGGGTCTAAAATATTTCAGGCTGGTCACTGTGTAGCCAAGGATGACCTTGAACTTCTGAACCTGCTGTCTCTACTCCCTGTGCTGGGATCACATAAGTGTCCTACCACATTTGTACAACACTGAGGATCAAACACAGGGCTTCATGCCCACTAAGTGTCTTAGCCATATGTGGGGCTTCCTGCACATAGGTGTCTTAGCAACATACACACACATACAGACACAAACACACACACACACACACTTTCTTGTCCACATGTGTCTTCATCTCATCTCTCACAACACACACACACACACACACACACACACACACACAGCTTCCTGAATACAGGGGCTTCCTGCCCACAAGTGTCTTTGTCTCATCACCCCCCACACACACACACATACACAGCTTCCTGCACACAGGTGTCTTTGTCTCATCTCTCTCTCTCTCTCTCTCTCTCTCTCTCACACACACACACACACACACACACACACCACAGCTTCTTGCACACAGGTGTTTTAGTCACTGTGCGATTGCTGTGAATAGACACCATGACCAAAGCAGTTCTTACAAAAGAAAACATTTAATTGGGGGCTGCTTACAGTGTCAGAAGTTTAGTCTGTTTTCATCATGGTGGGGAGCATGCCAGCATGCAGGCAGGCCCTGGAGCAGTATTGAGAACTACATCCTGATCCCCAGGCAGAGAGAGACAGACTCTGGGCTTGACATCAGCTTTTGAAACCTCAAAGCTCACAGCCAGTGACACACTCCTTCCAACAAGGTCACACCTCCTAATCTTTTCAAATAGTGCCATTCCCTAGGGACTAAGCCCTCAGATATGCGAGTCTCTGGGGGACATTCTCATTCAAACCACCACGTTAGGCAACTGCCCAACAACTGAGACAACTGTTGTCTTTGTGACTTATGCCACTTGCATCCTGTCTGAGGAAGCTCTATCAAGGACACAAAGACATTTTCCTATAGTATTTTCTAGAACTTTCTATTTGAGCCTATGCTCTGTCTTCAGTTAACTTTTAGAAGGAGTTTCTTTGATGCCCAGCATCCTCTTGAAGTAGAATGGTGCTGCCAGGAGCAGATGTGTCTCATTGCCATGAAAAGTCCTAAGTAACAAAACATTTTAAATGCCATATTCTGTAGACCTTTGAAAGGTTTGGAAATTATCTAACTGAAATATATCTTTATATATCTAGAAAACCTAATGTAATTGAAGGTTTGATTATTACAGATGACTATCAATCTGTGTTTCTTATACATTATATTTTTAAATGAGCTTCACAAACACAATACTTTAAACAAGAGCAGAAACACATATACAGTATAGCAAAATTGACCTTAAATTTGTATCAATTGACCAAGATCCATACCAATGAAAAGTATTCATTTCTATATCATATTCCCCTTATTTTTATTAATCATTTATAATCAACCCTTTTCAAATGAAAATTAACATTTATAAACAATCATTTTGGGAATTTGGGTGTAGTTTTCTCTAAACTGCTTCCTGCTGTTAGTTGGGAAAAGTATTTTGAGGGTTCATGGAGATCTTTTGGGATGTCTTGTTTCATCAAGCCACATTAGCCTGGAAGGAATCCACAGGTTCTCATCTTCTGTCTCTTACCGGGTGTCCTGGTCCTCTGGCTCTGTTCTGAGTCTTAGGTGTAGGTGTTATCTTGTGCTTATATCAGTTGGAGCGAGGCTCTTCATGGCAAGTTGTTCTCCGCATTTCCACCAGCTGTTGGCTTTCTGTAATGGTCTCCATCTGCTTTACTTTGTAATAAGTGGTGAGTGCTGCTTTGTTCCTGGCTGTGAGACCCGAATAATCACACAGAAACTATATTAATTACAACACTGTTGATCAATAGCTTAGTCACATTCCTAGCTAGCTCTTACATCTTAAATTAACCCATTTCTATTAATCTGTGTATCACTATGAGTCTGTGGCCTACTACTATGGTTCTAGTGTCCTTCTTTCTACATATCTCTGTTCAGATTTCCTGATGGCTTTATTTTGCCCTGCCATAGGCTGAAATAGCTTCTTTATTAACCAATGGTAATAAAATATATTCACAGCATACAGAGGGGAATCCCACATCAAAATCTGATGCCACGCTCAGTCACACTGCCTTGTTCACAGTAGCCTCATGGTGAGTCTTGAACATGTTAGCATAAGTACTCTGAATTTGCCTGTATCAAACATTTTATTTTGCCTCTTCCAGATCCTTTGCATGTAATGTACATGCAAAGTTACATTGTATGTAACTGAGAATTAATCAACATTTACCAAGAAAGGCCTGCCAGGTTTTTGAGTAGGGTTGTATTGAGACAACTCTTCAGAACTGCTGATGTTTTGTTTGAGCACTGAGGTCTCATAACATGGTATGTCTTTCCATTCACAGTGCATAAATATTATTTCATCAGATTTGCTAGTTAATTTCCTTGTTTTTGATGCTGTTATAAATGGTATTGGTTTTTAATTTTATTTCTACTTGTATTGCTTTTATACATAAATGTTTTTGATTTTTTTTTACATATCGGTCCTACAGACTTGCTAAACTTACTCATCTGTTTTTTATCTTTTCAGTGATTTATTGGGATTTCTTTATGTGCATGCTTAATGTCTGAGGAGGCCAGAAGAAGGCCTTGGATCCTCTAAAAGTGTAGTTACAAATGGCTGGTAGCCACCATGTGGCTCACTGGGAACTGAACCCGGGTCCTCTGGAAGAGCAGCCATTGCTCTTAAGTACTGAACCTTCTCTCCATTCCCTCGTCATTTTTTTGTTATTTTTTAATCATAATAGATTTCCAATTTTATCAAATGCTATTCCTGAGTCTATTAAATTGACTTTTGTTCTCTCTTATTTACTGTTGTATGGTAAGATACATTGATCCTCTGCCCTCAGCTTTGAGCCTGTGTGTGTGTGTGTGTGTGTGTGTGTGTTTATGTTTGACTATGGCTAGCTAGGAACTCACTACATTGACCAGGCCTCAAACTTTCAGAGATCTGTCTGCCTCTGCCTCCTGATTGCTGGGGTTAAAAATTTCATCATACTTGCCCCCTACACTGAATTTTGAATGCTGAGACTAACTTTTGTCCATTTGGTCCCATCTATTCTACTTTTATTATGTTGGTAGGTTGATTTGCTAATATTTGTTCGATATTATTGTATTTGTGTTCCTGAGTAATATAGGCCTGCAATTTTTATTTTTTCAGAAAAGGGTTTCTCTGTGTAGCCCTGGCTGTCCTGGAACTTGCTCTGTAGACCAGGCTGGCCTAGAACTCAGAGATCTGCCTGCCTCTGCCTTCTGAGTGCTGAAGTGTGTCATCATCTCCTGGGCTAGGCCTACAATTTTTCTTTATAATGTCTTTATCATGCTTCAGTATCAAGGTAGCTCTGGATAATTAATTGAGAGCTATGTCCTCTTTGTCTGTGTTCTAGACTTACCTTTACCTGCTAAGCCATTTCACTACTCCCAGAGATTAATTTGTTAACATGTATGGTAAATATATGAACATTTATCGTATAACTTTCTATACTTTCTTTGATGTTTTAACTTTTTAAAAATTTTATTAGTGTTTTGCTTGCATGAATATCTGTGTGAGAGTGTTGAATGCCCTGGAACTAGAGTTGTAGACAGCTCTGAGTTGCCATATGGATGCTGGGAATTGAACCCAGGTCCTCTGGAAGAACAGTCAGTGTTCTAAACTGCTGAGTCATCTCTCCAGCCCTGATATTTTAAATATTTAAATTTAAAGAAAAGCAATGTTAGGAAAGAGGGGAGGCATCGGAAGTGGTAGGTTCCCCTTCCTCATGCCATCCATCACCCTTCCCCTACACCCTGGAGCGTGGGCCCTTGGGAGAGTGGCTCAGTGCTCTCCATGTCACTTGATACCACATGACACATTCACTGTGTGGCCATGGTCTCTCTCTATTGGAAAGTCAACCCCTTGAGGCAAGGGACTCTCTTTCTCTCTCTCTCTTTCTCTCCTTCCTTCCTTTGAGACAGGTTTTCACTATGTAATAGCCTTGGCTGGCCTGAAACTCACTTTGTAGACCAGGTTGCCCTAGAACCCACAGAAATCTACCTGTCTCTGCCTCCTAAGTGCTGGGAGTAAAGGTGTGTGCTGCCACCACCCAGCTAGGGACTTTGTTTCTAACCCTAGAGCTATGAGTAATCCATTTATGAAGGGAACATGTGCAGAGGCCCTTCCATAACCCACTTGTACCAGGAGGACAGGACCACAGACTTTGTCTGTATACTGCCTAGAAGTGAGAACGTAAAGGAACTGATGAAACTGGAGGCGAATTCTTCCTTCCTCAAAACTTCAGATACTCAATCTAGAACCCTGTTTCTGTGCATGCGTAAATATGCGTGAGAGAGAGACAAAGGTGGAGAGGCAGAGGCAGAGACAGACAGATGTTGATGGAGGCTGCTAGTTCATTTCCCAACCACCCTGACTTGAAATCATCACCCAGAAACTATATTATTTGCAATATTGTTTGGTCAATAGCTTAAGCATATTTTTAGCTAGCTCTATTATCTTAAATTAACCCATTTCTATTAATCTGTGTATGGCCACATGGCTGTGGCTTACCAACAAGGTTCCAGTGCATCTGTCTCTGGTGGCAGCTACATGGTTTCTCTTTGACTCCACCCACTCTCTCTATATATATCTCTTTCAGCCTGGCTTTACTCTGTTAAGCCTTTGGCCCAGAGCAGCTTCTTTATTAGCCAATGGCAATAAAACATATTCACAGCAAATATCACCTCCCACATCAGACAGACTGTCAGGTAAGAGGCTCAAGAATGTACTCAAGTACCCCATTCTTCATACTCCATTGCCTGCCCATGCAGGAAGCCAGTGAAGAAAACTTGGAGAAACTTTGACAACACAGTACTCTACTGTAGCCTCTCTACAGCTTCTTCCAGGGGCCTGGAGCTCATTTTCCCCCAGATATAGATACCAAGTAACCGCAATCCTTCTTACCCACCTATTGGCTACCTGGAGACGCTTTGACTCCACAGGCCATGTAGAAACCCAAATTCACATAATTACAGTTTAATGATACACAGCAGGAACTTCCAGAGTCCCAAACTCTGATGATACACTCACCTGTCAATCAGCTGAGGGCCAGCAGGCTGTAATTTAGCCTGGCGCCAGGAGTGGGAGAGCCTAGGAACAAAGGAAGGACAGACCTGGTGCCAAGTCCAGTTAGTTAGTATACTTTGTATACTTAGTATACTTTGTCTGTATACTGCCTAGAAGTGAGAATGTAAAGGATTGATGAAACTGGAGACAAATTCTTCCTCAAAACTTCAGATACACAATCTAGAACCCTGTTTCTGTGCATGTGTAAGTATACAAAGTATTGCCTACAATGTTTTTCTCCAAACCTTCATTCTTTTATCTGTAAAATGGATTATAAACTCACCCACCAAATAGGAAGTTTTGGAAGGAATAGGGAAGGAAGATAAAGGCTCTTTTTCCAAGAGGCTTTGGGTGGGATGGGTTTGATCTAGGGGAGATAGGCCTGGTTCCAAACCAGGTTCAGTGAAACCTTCAAAGGTTGACTTAGCAAAAGTTACTCCTCAGGCTAGGGAGATAGTTCAGTAGGTACAATGTTTCGTGAGGTGTCGGGGACCGGCCCTGACATAAACCATTTCTTGTACCAGAGTGGAGGTGTGGGAAGAAAACACAACTCACATGACTATACTGAGAGGGAGGGAGTTTCAGTGATCCTTTAAGAAATCTCGAATTCTCATCCTGAAATTCACCCGTATTTATTTTCCAAACAGCTGTGCCCTCCCAGCCCCCTCTGGGAAATGACAATTCTTGAAACAATCCTACTGTTGACCCTCTGGTCATCCAACACAAGCCACCCCTCGTCTGACTTTGTCTTCGCTGTGCTGTGCAGCCTCCTCACTAAATCTCATTCCAGACTTTAACTTTTCCATAGCTTCCTTGATTTTGCCTTGTTTTTCACATTGCATGTGCCTGACCTTCACTGCATCACCGCCACCCCCACTTTTCCAGAACCATTTTCCCCTCCCACAGCATCTCCTAAGTCCACTCTTGAACTCTCGACTCCCTATTTGGTTTTTTGTTTTTTCTAAACAGTCTTGCTGTTCTCAGGTCATCTTCAAACTTTTAATCCTCCTGCCTCAAGTAACGTGTATAAAACTATTTTAGCTTTTGATATGACATTGGAAGCCATACTTCCTTCCCAGCCCCACCCCTGCCTCACCTAAGAACTATGTCCTTTTAGGTTCATTTCATATTTTTGTGTTTGATGAATATTGAAGAATTTTGTTTTATTTTTATTTTGAGGCAGGGTTTTCCACATTGTCCAGACTTGTCAGGAATATGTGAATTCATTTTGTGACCATGTGAACTTTGTTGTCAACTCAGGCATGTACAGTACTCAGGTTGCATGGTATCTTCTTGACATCTTTCTGATTTCCTCAGACACAATTTCCCTCATCTCACTTGCTTAATTTCTAGGTATTCAGGCCAATAAATAGTCCTCTAACCCTTTGCCTCTTTATTTTTTTAAATGTCTGTCCAGAAGTTCCCTTAAACATTGTAAATCTGCCACCTGGGGCATAGAATTCATTTTATTTTCCAGTATTTTCAGTTGCAGAAGACACACAAACACCACACAAATAATACCCTGTTCGAATGCCCTGTTCTCCCTGGAGAACCCCTCATGAAGCCCCCTGATGGCTCTTGGAGACAGAAACCAGATGTCACAAGGTCTCTCAGAAACCAGATTGCTAGGTCTCTCCTATCATCTTCTGCCCAGGATAATTCCCAGATTTGCCTTGGTTTCTATACCCCGATGTTTGGGAAGATAGCAGGGCAGTTAAAGGGAGGATGTTCTCATGTAATTATGTCTGGATTCAGGTTCCGAGAGGATGATGCCTGAGGTCATTCTGTGTTCTTCACATTACATTCTGGTGGTGAGTAAGAGGACCTGGTATTGATTTCTTGCACACGCATGTGTGCAGACACCCATACTCTGTGTGGAGGTCCCTCTTTGTCTTATTCCTTTGAGGCACTGTCCACCACTGAACCTGAAGCTGGGCTGACAAGCTAGAAGCCCCTGTAATCCTACTGCTTTACCTTGAAAACTTCAGGGTCGCAGGATGCGCACTGCGTGCCCAGATGTCACGGGGGTGCTGGGATCCGATCTTAGGACCTCCTGTTTGCACAGCGGGTGCTCTTACTCCCTACGCCATCTTCCTGGCCTGACGTGGGCTCGGCAGCAGTCCTGGGCAGAGCTGCTCTCTTGCTAAACCATGTTACGTTTTTAAACAGTAAGTACATATGAGGAAACACTTCAGTGTCATGCAATGTCCTGTGGATACTGTTGGTTCTAGCATCCGTAGATGTTTCTTACTTTAAATAATTACCACAATCGTTGCCAAATGATGTTTTTCTTCTTTTATTGCATGGCATCTATAGTAAGGAAATCTTTTTTTTTTCAGTTCATAAATTCATTTGCTTATTTATAAATTTGGTAGATTTACTTCATTCAATGCATTATAATCCATTGCTACTATTACTGCCACTATTATTTTAAAGATGTTTTATTTTCACTCTATGTCTATGGGTGTTTGCCGGCTTGTCCATGGGTGTACCACATGCATTCTGAAGCCAGAAGAAGTTATCTAATCCCCTGAAACTGGAGTTACAGACCCTTGTGAGCTGTAGCGTGAGTGCTGGCAACTGAACCCAGGTCCTCTGCAGGAGCAATCAGCGCTTTAACCTCTGAGTCATCTCTCCAGCCCAGGTTATTTTCATGTTCTAATTACACTACCCTGGTCAGCAGTCCCTGCCAGCTGACATCTGTGTACTCAGACATGTCCCCATCATTGTCGAGCATTCTCCTGCTTCTAGACACAATAAAATGTTCCAGGTTTGGCCTGATGCTATCTTGGACTCGACACTAGGACCAATTCCTCCTCTGAAAGGTTGGACTGTCATTTAAGAACAAATCCGCTCAACCAAATGTTCTCATTGATAGCTCCAAGCCCAAGCTAACACCGGAAGAGTCCTGCCTTGGTTTTCCCCTTTCCACATCTGAACCTTCGGCATCAAAGAACCATCCAGGCCCTTTATCCATGATATCCTTTTTCTATGGTACACCCTACAGAGGCCCATCTCTGACCTTGACATCTTGTTACCAGGATGCTTTAACCTTGACTCCACAGAAGCAACCATTACCTTCCTCAGATTGTCTAATGACCCCATCTAGATGATCTCAGGGAGGGAGGGAGGGAAGGAAGAGAGGGAAAGACAGCAGGCATAGCATGGCTATTCATAGCTTTAGAAGATCTCTGGGAATTTCTGGAATGTTCTGTTTGTCTCTACTCCCACCCCCTTTGTTGTTGCTGCTGAGGGTCCAGGGAGAACTGACCTGCAGTTCTGACTCCCTGCATCCCCCAGATGCTTTGCCAGCTCTTCTCATGCATTTTGGCACAGAGTTTATAAAATGAAAAATACTGTTAGAAGTCAGGGTGGATGGACTGATTTGGGGGTCTGCTGGGGACGTTTCAATGTGATCTCTTGGCATCCACTCAGCCAAGGTGGCCCCTAGGTGTGGAAGGCAACTCACACTCAATGTCCTTCCACACCTCCTTCCACACTCGAGAGTGCTCTGCTCAGCAACATGCCAACTATTGGGCTTCTGCGAGATGTTTTGGTGAAGAGTTTCAGTAGGTCAGTTCCTGCAGGACTGACGGGATGGTGTGGGCCAGAACTTGCCTAGCCTGGGCTTTAGTCTTGACTGAGAAAAGGAAGCTAGCCTCTATGGCCCTGAGTCTCAGTTAAACACCCTGGCCACCACATGGCAGGGAAAGGAGGAACACATGACTTTCTTCCAGAGAAACAGGTTGCTGGGCTGCTAGGACCTGGGTCTGCAGCCTAAGGAAAAACCAGAGACAATGAAAGAGTCACTGGCTGGCTGGATAGGTTGCACAATTTCCTATAGGGCCTGCAAACAGGACTTTAGACCTAGAACCCTGAGGTCTTGGTAGCCTTTCCCCTTCCCCCAGGACCTCAGCCACCAAGTTTCTGGGGTGGCCATAGAGATTGGGTGGGTGGACCAGGGTGCTCTCTCAGTCCCAAGGGCAGTCAGATGGCTCCAAGGGGCCACTAAGAAGGGGTCAAAGCACATAACTGTGGGGTACTATGAAGGATCCTGCACTCAGGAAGCTGAGGCAGGAGGATTGTGAATTTGATTGTGAGTCTAGCTAGGACTCAAAGGATTTGGAAAATCCTCTAGGAGACCCAGTAGAGTGAGTGCGTGTGAGATTGTGGATAGAACTGTGATTCTGTGAAATGTAAGTATGTCACTATACGCTTGAGTACTGATCAGAGTGCAGAGGAATGTGATCCATGTGAGCATGTGGACCACCGGGACACATATATATGAGTATGTTTACATGTGTTTACATACAGTGCTAAGCCTGTAGTCTCTGTGATGGCTGTAAAATACACATGGCCTCTCTGATATATGTGAGCACATACAACACATACATTTCTCCACAGCTGCCTATGTAGGTCACATGTTCTTAGAATGTCTCAGTTCATCCGGTGCTACCTTCCTCAATCCCCACAACCCAGGAGCACACTTTGTTGCCATGTTACACGGAGGACAAGGTTGGCCCGGAAGTGTTTCCAGGCTTCTCCTGACTGCATGACTGAAATGACTTCTATCTGGGCTTTGGACAGACAGAGAGAAATGGAGACTAGACCAGGATGTCTGTAAACACAGCCCCTGGAGACACCGCTGCAAGGCAGGACAGCCCCTCTGCTGTGGACGGAGCTGTCCCGGCAGCTGCTCCTTTGGGAGCAGAGCTCTGGGGCCACTGTTGAGCACAGAATCCACCTGCATTCCTTCCAGGGTTTCTTAAACCTTTGTCTGACTCCTAGGAAGATGTGGAAAGAGAAGGAGAGGACTGGCTGGATGCTGCTCCGCTCCCTTCCACCAGCCTCGCTCAGCACAGGCTTTCAGCCTTGAAGAAGTGAGGTGTGTGGGCCTCTCCCTCCCTGTCCCAGGATGAGCAGGTATGGCAGGACTGCCTGGAAGCTTTAAAAAAAAATAGCTTCGAGAGTTAGAGCCTCCTCCACTCCAAAAATGACAGCCCTCAGAGTCTTGCCCCGACCCTCCAGGACTGTGGGATGGAGAAGGGGGAGCACATTTTGAGGAAGAAGAAAAACACTTGACACAAGCTGCAAAAATCAGGGTCAGGAAGAAAAATCGAAGCCACTCCTAAGTATTTCAAAAAGTGGGATTGAGTTCAGGGAACTGGTTCCATGGAGAAGGAGAAGGCTGGGAAGCCAGCAGCCAACAGTGGGGCAGTTTGGTGTCCAGCAGTTGAAGGAACTGCTTCCACACCAGCTGCAAACGGAGATGGGGGCTGCTTAGGCGCAGGGGCCGGAGTGGAACTGGAACCGCAGATGGTTGGGCAGTTCTGTAGGGGCTGAAGCCACAGGAGGGAGCAGCCCCTGCTGGGAAAATGCCTTCAACACACCTGTCCCTTCAGTAAAGAGGGTGGGCAGTAGACAGAGATATCCCAGCTTCTGCCTTCCTCTTGCCTATGCCTATCCCAACACAGCAAGGCACCAGCTGCTGAAGGAGCCTGGGAAAATCAGTTTGCAGGAAATGAGCAGAACTGCAGGTCAGCAAGCAGGCAGCACCTTGCTCACTTGCCCATAACGTGCTTCACAGAGCCATAGAACTTTCTGGAAAACCAAAAAGCTGCTTGTCAGTACCCCAGGACTCTGAATATGCTTGACTTCCGGTAAGAGTTCAGTGGGCAGAATATTCCCCTCTTAGTGTTACACGGCTTCACGGCATTGCCGCCAGAGTTCGACAAACTCAGTCCAGGCTCTGGGCAATGGAAAGTCAAATGAAGTCTCCAAGGCACACAGCTAGAAGACAGCAGGGGAAGGCACAGGCAGGTAGGCGGAACTCTAAGCCCCAAGCATGTGGTCAGGTGGTGTGGGGGGCAGTGTGGGAGGGAGCTGATGGTTAGATAAAATTCTGAGAAGAGGGTGCGGAAGGTGTCACAGCGAAGTGAATGACATCATGTGGTTGGAGAATGTGTAAAGAGGAAGCCAAAACTGAAGCAGAAAAAGCTAAATTTGTGATGTAATGCCAGTCTCAAGAGGAAAACATTAGTCTCTTATGACTCCCAATGTCTCAAGGCCCCACGGCCTTAATACTGAGGATGAAGCTCAAATACAAGCCACACTGAAGCCACAGATGCTCGACCTTAAGTCATGGGCTTCCAGATCTCAGAAGAGGAAGTAGAGGGCATGGGACAGGAAGTAGAGTGTGGGTCCTGCCATACAGCAGCTTTGAGAGGCAGAACTCCTCTTCTAAGTCGGGAAGTTCTCTGCAGCACACACCCTGACCACACCTGGGACGGCTCGCCTGCATTGGCTGTCACTATTACCAAGTGGCCACCACGCATCAGATCCCGCACCCTCTGAGACCTGCCGCTTGGCTCCAATTGCCCTTCTGCAGACCGTGTCTAGCTCTGTCCTCCCCGCATCACTTCAGATACCCGGAACAGAGAAGCTTCTAGCTGAAGACCCCAGCGCCTGGGGAGGCCTGGGAGGTGACTTCAGGTATTCCCTGTCCCTCGGGTGCTTCTTTCAACCAAGCCACTCCTGGCACCAAACCCTCCAGGCCTCATGACTCACCCGGCAGGACTTTCACTTCCTCTCTGGAGAAGGCCTTTGACCTGCTATCATTGCCGTTCGCAGCAACTCCCTAGGCCCCAAGGAGCAGCCCAGGCCCTTCTGAGGGCCAGAAGCCTGGACCTAAGGGTCCAGAGACTCTCGTCTATTGTAAGGCATGGCAGAGCGGGCTCTGGGGCTGCTAGGGGACACTGACCCATGCCAAGCCCTGCCCATGTGGTTGGTGGTTCTCAGCAGCTTGGCAACCTTGGCACACAGGAAGCTGGAGTGTGAAGCTGAAATGGGATCTTTTATACTCCCTGATGGTCGTTAAAGAGAGCCACCTGCATTGATTCATTTCCTCACTAACAAATCTCTTCTGGTTCTTATGTTTACAAAGAGCTCATAGTCCACGTGGTGGAAGTGGGGCTAGGGAACAAATCCATCAGCAGGAAACCCCAACAATATGAGAGCAAGAGAAAGGGAAAGGGCCTTGGAAAGAGCGGGGCAGGGGCAGGCAGTGTGGTGGGTTGTCATGGTGCATCTCCAGGCCAGACATCAAGCTTGGAAGCTTGGAACGCTTTAATTTTGAAAGGCTCTCCTAACACACACCCTGGGATCTTCTTTCATTGTCCAGGCTGACTTCAAACTCTTCCTCAGCCTCTCAGCCTTCAGAGTACTGGGATTATAAGAATTCAAACATAACTGGCTAAAAAGGAGTTCTCTTTCTGAAATAGAATATAAAGCTATATTCAAGTGTGAGCACTGGCAAAATGGCTCAGCAGTTAAGAAGATTTACTGCTCTTGCAGAGGACCTGAGTTCAGGCTACAATCTCCTGTAACTCAAACTCCAGGGAAATGATGCTCTCTTCTGGCCACCATGGCAGCTCCACTCACATGGACACACCCCTGAACAGACACGTCCACATATACATCTTCAAAAATAAAATTGAATCTTAAAAAAGGAGTGAGCATTGAGGCTGGGGGGAGTCAGTGGTAGAGCTTAGCATAATGAGGCCCTAGTTCAGCTCACAATATTGCAAAAAAAATGTTTAGAGGAAGAATAGAAAACCCCCAAACAGTACAGAAGCCTAGAACAACTTTGGTGATATCTTCACACATTTATCAGAAATATTTACAAAGAGATGCTTCCTCATTTCAACTGGGCTTCTCCTCTTCTTTAGGACATTTGGTAGCTCCCGGTTTCCCCAGGGGTGCCTCGTGAATAACAGCAGCATAGCCATCTTGCTACAGGTATGTGGCCCAGCTCTAGTTGAAGAGAACCAAGCCTGGCTGGATAACCCAGCTGTGCAGCTTGATGTGGGCTACACTCTCTTTGGTCTCCTACTTACTGACTGCGGAACCGCAAGGAGAAGTTAGTTATTATTTCTGTGCCTTGACTTTGCTCACCTGTAAAATAAATCAATGGATTGAATCCCAGTATTGTGCTTCTGTAAAAATTTGATGACATCATTCACATAGAGCATCTCTGGCTCCCTATAAACATGAGGCAGCCAAGATTCACCAACTGTTACAGTGAGCACTACCAGCTATGATGAGGGTCTGTCCTTGCCTAATCCTCTCTCTCTCTCTCTCCTCTCTCTCTCTCCTTTCTCTCCCTCTCTCTCTCTCTCTCTCTGTGTGTGTGTGTGTGTGTGTGTGTGTGTAACAAATGGCCAGGAAAGTCTTCCTAGAAACAATCTTGGTTTTGTCTCTTAAAGGGGTGTCAGGAGGACAAAGAGAACCATATTCACGAAGGTCAGTTCTTTGGGGATGAAAAGAAATAGGACCAAGAGCCCTAAACCCAAGTTCTCGGGCCCCCTGGCTCAGGACTCAGAGCTGCAGCCTTACAGACTCTGCTGTGCCCAGCATGGTTTCTGAGATGCAGGCTACAAGGTCTGCCTCTCACTGCTCTGCCCACTCCTGTTTCCGGCCTCCAGTTCCTTCCCCTTTACAGACCACAGAGCCCTTTCAGAAGAAGCCACTTCTTATTTTAGTTGCATTCCCGGACCACCCCACCTACAGGTGCCCCTGCCCCCAGGGTCCTCAAAAGATCTGGGTCATTCTTCTGGCTTCAGCCCAAAGCCTTAAGGCTGAGCAGCTGTCTCTGTCCCCAGGGCAGCCATAAGGACCCAGGTCTTGGCAGAATCAAGAGGTCTGGCCTTACAGCTGGTAGACCAGGGTTCAAGTCCAGCCCTGACAGTCATTGTGTGATCTGTCATAAGTTCCTTCATCTTTCCAGGCCCTGTGTCCCTATCCATGCTGGGGGGACCTGCCACTAGGAGAGCCTGGAATTGGGAGAGGTGTCTGCCACTGCCCTGCTTTGCATGGCGACCCAGCTGCAGGGCGTTATGGAATATTATTGAAGATGTGGTGCATTTGTTTATCTGTGGAACATTTGTTTAATGATACAAAGATGTGTTACATTCTCTTATGTTGCACTTGTTTAACTCTGTGAAGCCATGTTACTTAGCCTGTCTAAAACACCCGATTGGTTTAATAAAGAGCTGGATGGCCAATAGCTAGGCAAGAGAAAGGACAGATGGGGCTGGCAGGCAGAGAGAATAAATAGGAGGAGAAATTTGGAAGAGAGGGAGGAGTGAGAAAGAGGAGGAGAGGAGGACTCTAGGAGACTCGTCACCCAGCTACACAGCACGCCGTGGAGGAAGACAGGAATAGAGAAAGATAAAGGCCCAGAGGCAAAATATAGATAAGATAATTTAAGTCAGAAGAGCTGGCTAGAAATAAGCCAAGCTAAGGCTGGGCATTCATAAGAAAAAAATAAGCCTCTGTGTGTTTATTTGGGAGCTGGGTGGTGGCCCCCCAAAGAGGAAAGAGGAAAAGAGGAAAAACAACTCCACCGTGTGGAGTCAGAGTCGCCGCTTTTTTAAAAGACATTATTTATTTATTGATTTATTTATTTATTTATTTTTGGCTTTCCAAGACAGGATTTCTCTGTCCTGGAACTCTCTCTCTCTCTCTCTCTTAGTGTGGACCAGGCAGACCTTCAACTCAGAGATCTGCCTGCCTCTGCCTCAGGAGTGCTGGGATAAAGGGGTGCGTCACCACTGCCTGACATGAGCCTTCAACTTTTTGATGTTACAAGACAAAGCTGTCATCTACAAAATTCACAAGTGAGAACCATAAATCAAGTTACACACACACACACACACACACACACACATTTCCCTCATAATGTTTTAAATAAATTTACCTCTCTGTTGGGTCTCATTCCTAGCTATCCTGGGGTACATGTAGCCTGTGTGTTGAGGCCTTCTGGCTCAGCTGAGCTTATAGTATCTCTGGGAACCTGAAGCTTACACTTGCTCTTATTTGGGTACTGGGGACTGAACCCACGCTTATACATGCCAAGCACATGCTAAGCACATGCTCTGCTACTGAGCTCCGAAGTCTAGGCCATGCTGAGTCCAGGTTTAGTCAGAGTCCATGTCCCCAAAAGTAAGTGAAGAGCAACTGAAGAAAACACCTGATGGCTCTGGCTCACTTGCACAAGTGTACACATGCACAAGTGTACACATGCACAAGTGTACACATGCACAAGTGCGCACACACAGGAACACATGGGCCTATGCAATGTAAGATTCCTGAGGCTTGGGCATGCCTAGCTAATGCACATAGATGCACACAACATGCTCATGTATTCATGCCTGTCACACTCATGGATGCATGTATGTTTGGGAATCCACCAGCTTACACACACACACACACACTCACACACACACTCACGTGAACAGGCACTAACTAGTGTGTTTATTCCCAGAAACACACACACAATACACTTGCTCATGTGAGCAGGCATTAACCAGTGTGTTTATTCTCAGAACCACACACACACATACACTTGCTCATGTTAACAGGCACTAACTAGTGTGTTTATTCCCAGAAACACACACACACACACACACACACACACACACACGGCAGGTGCATTTTCAGTCACACAGGCCTCTCTACCCAAGGGTGCACACTCGCACTGACATTCAGAAGGCCTCATATGAACACTGACACTACAGATACAAATTGGTGGCCTGTTTGAATTCTTTGCTTAAAGAAAACTTGTGACTGCATTAAAAATGTAGGGCACATTGGCCAAATAATTAAAGCGAGGAGTGTGGCAGTGGGACTTGCTGCCATTCTCTCGGGGACGCCCGAGCTGGGCTGTGCACTGCAAGGCTTTGTCCTGTATATCTGAAGAAGAGGCATTTTATTACAGTAATTTATCACCACCATAAACGCGGCTCCTCGGAAATGCAGAATAATTTGGGAAGAAATATGTTTTAAAAATTAAAAATGCAGTCGGTGTGCCCCTGTCAGGTCTGCAGGGAGACATCTCTGCCGCTCCGGTAACTGCCCGCGTAGCTCTAATACCTACAACTTCCATTATTTAAAGTGTGATTATATTTTTCCTGCTTGGAGCTTTGTCAGCTATAAATAAAAGATAAGGGTGAAGTGTTGCGGGGCCTAGTAAGCACTTCCATTATTGGTACTTAAGGGGGCTTGGGGACGGAGGGAACCGGCCTGGTGGGAGCTCAGGGAAGCCTGTGACCGGGCCTGAGAGCAGAGCTGATGGTGATAGGTCTCTGGTAGGTTGTTTGCACATGATCCCGTGAGCTCCTTTGCCTTCCTCTGCCCAGGCCGTCCTGGGAGCCACCACAGAGGTTGCTGTGCTTTCCACCAGGGTCCTCTCCCTGGGGACTCCACAGTCATGGGGCCACCGGCAGAGGAGGAGAGAAATCTGTCACCTGAGGCTGTTGTTTTTCCACAACCAGCTGTTTCCAAGTGAGACCCAGGCATGTGCCAGGTGAAGAAGGGGACTCAGGACACACAATGACTACAACGTCTCCTGTACTAGCTGTAAAACGGAGGCTGTGACTTCAGAGTTGGAGAGTCCTTCCGATGAAAGAGCGCTACCGTGAAGGAAAGGAAGCCCTTCTATAATAACTGGACTGTGTTTTGGGAGTTTTGGTCGCACTGTGACACTCTGAGACTGTTTAAATGAAACTTACCTTCAACAGGGTGCAGAGCTAGTGACTAGCTGACCGGAACTGGCCATAGAGAAACCAGCAATTTGGATAAAAAAAAAACACATGGGTAGTAAGGGTCGTAACTTGAGTTTGTGGTTTCCTTTTGATTTGGGGATGAGTGAAGAGACATGTCTCTTGCTGAGTCTTTAACCAAAGAAGAAGGTCACCTGGTTGCTTCTCGACTTTTCTGATCTAACAGGCTTTCACCCCCAC